GTTGAGTAGGTTCATTGTGCACGTACCAGCAGTCTGAAGCGATGGAATCCTAGTTCACGAATGACTCGCGTGCGATTTAGGCCATTTTATGCAAGCTGGCCAACAATCACGCTAGCTGTGGCCTTCATTGCCTAAAATCTGGACATTAAACCTTGCTCAGGCAGCTCGGCCAATGATAAACAAGAGCGCGGATGGCCAAATCACATAGTGCTAATTAGGTTAGAGATCTTCGTTTGTAAATTACCGTGTCTTCAGTGTCCGCTATACCATTTTTGTATTTGCCATTTAAACACTCGAATGTTTGCACGGACGAGTTATGAAACGCAGATGCATGCAGCCGCCTCTCGTCATGGTAACTTACTAAGCACGTAATTATAACGACTTGCAAGCGATTGGAACATTGAATAGGCCTTTCTTTCTTCCATCATGGCTCAACAAATTCACCCCTTTGTATGGACTGCTTTTATTAGAACTTGCAGACAAGGTGTGGATTCTGGTATTGTGCACTCGCGCCTTCTTAACACAAATTTTCTTCTAACATTCAGTTAGTAAGAAAGCTGTGTCTTCTCACACCGAATGTGCGATGTTGACATTAACATTCTGTTTTGCCTGTACTTTGCTTGTTCAATTACTTGTGGTGGGACAAAAGACAGGCATTGGGTGTAACAACCCACTGGGCATTCTTGTGCTCGTTTAATTTGCCAACTGATAAGCACAATGCACAGTTGTCCTAATGCGAGATTTGTTGCAGTTCCTTGTGCGGTTTTCTAATTGCACCAGGTCCAACCATCTACTTTGACACGGCCCGACCGAATGAAGACGATAAACGCAGATGGCGAGTAGCTCAAGTTATTTATTGACGCAGTAGCGGTGTGTGTTTGTACAGGATAACAAGTGTAGTTATATAGCTTCGCTAAGCATCGGTTTTTGAACGAACACACTTACTCGTGTTCGTTCACGATTGCTAGCTGCACTCGCTTGCTGCTAGCCGCAGCTTTCGGCTTTGACTAATGAGGCGTTTTAGCTAAATATCAGCAGCTAAAATAGGCAGTTGGAAAAGGACATGCAAATGGCGACAATATACGCTGAATTTCTAGCTGAAACACGCTTGATTCGCCTTAATCAAAGCTGTTACATGAACACAAGTGCCTCAACAAGCAACATCGACTGCTTCTCCACAGTGAGCTTGATAGATGTGGTTCGGATAATTGGCAACCTGTGAAGTCTGCTTAAATGCTTCTCTCTATGCAGAATATAATTGATGATTTATCTAAATCGAGCTTAGCGTTATCATCGCCAGATCCGGCTGCCATTTCACGTGGCCTGATTTTCTCATGTAGTCAAGATAAGCATGGGTCGTGGTGACTGAACTGGGCAGGTGAAACACAAATTAATTAAACCGATGTCAAGCAAGACAAAACTATCCTTTTAAAAAGGTTGCCTACGACGTCCCCAAGCAGAATTTGATTGCTGACCACTTGCTCCTGCCTCTGCAACCTCAGGTGTCGTATCTTGCCATTCCGTAACTACGATCTTTGCGTACTTGCACAATTTCTTCATGTATTCATTCGAACTATGCACACCACCTGTATCTCTTACACGAGCACTTATTTATTCCGGGAGCACGTTAAGGACGCTACCACAATAAGCCATTCCTAAGCATCTACGAATGGAACACTCACGCAGGAAACTGGGATATAGGGCGTGACCAACGATTGCTTTGGCACCACAAGAGTAAGAGTTATTCAAGTACCAACTGGCACAATCCACTAGGTTAGCACACAACCCGACGTAGTTAAATAAATCAGATGGTGGTGGTGTCATCATTTTACAAATATTGACTGTCGAAATTGCAAGTTGGCCAACTAACACACATATCCGTGGCATTTTATTGATTGCAGTCTTAAAATTCCCCCTTAGTTCACTTAGCTTGGTTCATGTTTTCGAATTATCTTCGCCAATCTGTCAGAATTTGATTAAAAATTTTACCTGAACCACAGAAATAACTCTGTTAGTCCCTTCGAGATAAACAGTGACTGTCCCATATAAGATCTTGTGGTGACTAGCAAGCCAGCACAGCATTCGTGAGCGAACACAAATCAATCGATTTTTTTTTCGTGAATGCACTGTAGTGGACAGACGGCCACAGTGCGTGTGTGACGCGTGCCCGATTGTATCAATGACTCACCCTCTTTGTTATTGGCTCTTATAAGCAGTCGCCTGTTACACATCTAGAATAATAAAATTGGAGCGCAGAGAAACACAGGATTGGCTGAGGCCAGCGTTGTCCAATATGTCGGCGCCCTCAGATATCGCCACTGTAGAATACCCGAGCCCTAATAGGAAGAATACCGGTACAACAGACAAGGCTTTATTTATTAATCAAAAGCTAGAGCCACAAGTCACGCGCCTTTCATCTGGGTCCACCACGCTGGCCACGCCGCTCATTATATACTGTACCTCATTCATGTCCTTCCCTGGTTTGTTGCTTATCTTCTTCGCATGCCATTGGAACTCAAAGCGACAGGGCATTGGCTGAGGCCAGGAAGTACAATATGTCTGCGCACTGATCCGTCACCACTGTAGACTACCCGAGCCCTAATAGGAAGAATACCGGTACAACAGAACAGGCTTTATCGACCAATCAGAAGCCAGAGCCGCACCTCAGGTGCCTTCCATCCGAGTCCACCACGCTGGCCACGCCGCTCATTATATACTGCTCCTCAATAGTGTCCTTCTCTGGTTGGCTGCTTATCTTCCTCGCATGCCATTGGAACGCAGAGAGACACAGGATTGGCTGAGGCCAGGCGGTCCAACATGTCTGCGCCCTGATCCGACGCCCCACCACATCACACCACACTGGGACACCATCTCATGCACGTTTATGAATATAATGTGGAATTTCAACTGCTTTCAAGTTACAGAATAATCAACAACTGCCAAAGTGCAATGTAACTAGACTTACAAATAATCACTAAAAGAGTCCCTTTCGATACTCTAAGGCAGCAAATTCGGCAGCTACAATTGTTGCTTTATCCTTGAACTGGATGTCTTTATTATCGGATGCTCGCATCGTGTTCATTCAGAGGCCAATCGCTTAGCTCTGGCTCCTACTTCCTGAAAAACTCAACTGATGCTACTTCCTCTATTCTAACAAGGAACTTTTTCAACTCGCATAATTTCATGGCAAGAGCGCTCGTGGGAACAGCCACCGAAAGGGTGTTTCCCATGACCTGATCACTTACTCGCTCCTCTCCCCACTCTGAGCGCAGGTCATTCAGTTCAATGCATTTGTTGGATTGTGGATCGTCCATGAGTTAGATTCCAGGACCTTGCAAACAATATACTCAAAGGACTCGATTTTGCTGAATCCATTAACGAACACGGACGCCGCTCAGAAAAATCAGCATCACTATTAATGGGGACATCCAGAAAGATATATTTCACTTAATACAATGTCACCTGTGTGTTGTCTGGGAGAAGAAAAATTCTCACTTTTGGAAGAGCGAATAGCTATAACGACTATTTCTATTCAATTTAACATGTAATTTTGTGGTATCACGCCTAATTTTATGTATCTGCACATCTTTTGCCTGTCTTCATTTATCCCTAGTTTAAATTCAGACTCATACTGATGGCCGATTACACCTGGCTTACTGAACCAGCAGTGACCTTGGTGAACTTTGTTTAGGGTTTACAAATCCGATAACAGTAACCAATGAAAATGAATGACTCATTGACATCGTCAGGTCAGAAAATAGGCTTCACTCAGGCGCGGTTGCTACTGCTCCACTACAAATCGATCACAAATGTGCTAAACCCTCTAAGACAAATAGCGTCTGTCGCGTACGATGAGATCGGAATAAGCAATCATCACTTCAACGACCCGCCTCTGGCGTAACCTCGGCACGCATGCGAACACTGCATCCCATCTTCCACGCTGCTCAATCCAGTGAAGCAAACACAAGCAGCACACCTATTACTAAATTAAGATCTCTTGCATATCTGGATATCGCTTTAATAGCGGCAGCGTAGTCCTTGAGATGGACTGAAATTCAAAGTATATGAGTTAAGCCGATTTCTAGCAAACTATTGATCAATGCCAGAGCGGAGTGGTTGTTAGGGGACCAATCATCGACTCGATACAGCCACACATGCCATTCCTCCCCACACTCTCCGTTTAATTTGTCCTCGCTGGTGGATTCCATTTCAACCAATTGTCGAACACAGGTGCAGGATCAGCCTGTTCGTGCATGTGCGAAAAACGGCAAAGGCAACGTTCAAGCTCTCTCGTGGTGCGGCTGTTAAACCTCACACGCTGTTCAACTGATTAATTGATACGGTAACAGCGTGTTTGGTACATGGTGATGAGTCTGCAGTGGCTTGTGGTAAAAACACTACCTTACAACCCTCTCGTTAACAGCCCGTAACAACCCGAGAATGGAGAGAAGAGAGGCGACAGAGAACACGACCGTTTATTAGCGCCACGCCAGCCAGGTGTGTATGCGTGACAAGATGACAGGCTTCTGATACAGTAACCAATGCAAAGGGGATGAATCATTGTCACCATCAGGTCAGTAACCAGGGCTCACTCAGACGCGATCGCTGTTAATCCGCTACAATTCGTCAGCTTACATATATGATCACTTAAGACCGATCTCTCAAAACGAACACACCTGCATGACTTGCATTCATGCAAATCGCCTGAATTCGTGTTCGTTCACTAACCGCCACAATTCTCTTCTCTGGTTGGAGCCAACCCAGACACCGGTGGATTAATTGACTACAAAATCCCTACCCTATCCTCTCGTCTTCCAGTAGTCTAAGCCACCAGCTCGATTAACTCACTTTGACACACTACTCTAACACCAATCCAACTCACACTTCCCACTAGCGCACTGTATAGTGGACACCGACCAATGACCGGCCTCATAAAGAAGTTAGTTTATAGCGATAGCCATACCACCACAAGGAGAAGTAACAGAATTAAAACGCGCCCTTTACGAGGGCATCGACGAAGGCGTAGGAGGCAGACGTCTCACGGGGGAAGCGGACAGACGAAGCGGTTTGCGCGGATGCATAGAAAACAGGACGGAGCGAGAGGGGGAGAGAACGGGGTCAGCTAAGAGCAAGGAATGCAAAAATTCGAGGCGTGCGCACGCACACACACAAAAGCGATGCCCAAGCAAGCAAACAAAAACACAACATCGAAATCTGGTGATAACGAAAGTGCAAAAGAAGCCGAACGCCGCGTAGACAGGGTGGGGGAGGTGGGGCGGGGCAGGGGAGAACATGATGTAGCCGTCATAGCCAGGAGAGGAAATGCTGAGGTCGCCGTGGTGATGCTGAGCCTCTGTGGTGTTTCGTCAGTCGCGACTGCGAATTCAGTGGTGTTGGGTATCTGAAAGGCACACACCAATGCGATATTACCGCTTACGTGTCTAGTGTGTTCACACACACACACAACTGCCGTGCGAATGTTAGGAACACAAAACGAGGAGGTTAAAAGTGGAGCATTAGGTGCGAGTTAACAAATGAGAACAACACACAGGGACGCCCGCAACGCGATAATTGACTGCTGCCACTGCTGCGGTTCCTCCTCATCCGCCTTTTTCTCCATCAATTGAGACTGCATCGCACTGCCGACATGTTTGACTTGTACTTACCGAAAGAGAGCAATATTTACCCAAACAAGAGTTAAGCGACCGATTTAGGCGTTAGGCGCAGGACAACAACGAATGAAGTGCTAATTTTAACACAAACATCGAAGTTCTTGAACTCGAGGGGGCGGGGGGGGGGGGGTTAGAATCAACACCGAGTTATGCAAGCGGCCGTTTCAGTGGTAGTCGGAAGCAACTCGACGCAGTGAGAATTAGACGTGGTTTGCGCGCGTGCGTGTTAGGCGAACGCACCCAAACTGCCGCTGCCGGGGTGCGGCAGCGATGCAAACGACGGGCCCAAATCGAACGACGACGAGAGAATTGACACTGAATCCGTCACCAGGATACTCGAGGGACCGAGCGATCGAGAGATGCTTGATGTTTCGCCTTCCTCCACATTGCGCATCCCGCCCACAACCGACTCGACCAACGACATGTCGCCCTCCTGGCCTTCCATCATCTGTTTCTCTAGGTCCTCGCTCAGGCTTTCCTGCTCCTCCAGACGCAGGAATTCATTCAGCGACGACGAGCCCACACTCGAGGGGCCTGTTGGGCCGCCCTTCGCTTGTCTATCGATTAGAAGGCCGCCGTCTTCATCACCGTACCCCTCCACTTTGTGTGGGCTCGTGAACAGTTCCCTGGGACTGCTCTCAAGAGAGGAGCGAAGTGAATACGTCACCGGTGGCACGATGGGCGCGTTGGGAGAGGTGTCGCGCAGGCGACGAGCTCCAACCGACAGTGGGAGGCTGCCATTGGAGCTGCCTATGGCACCGCCACTGCTGCCACCAAAAGGTGCGGTGCTCGCGACCGAAGAACGCAATGAGAATTCCGACACCTCGGGAATCGGGGTCAGGGGAACACTACTGTTGAGGTAATTGCTCAGCTGATTGGCGAAGCCCTCGAGATAGGCTTCTGGGAAGGGATCTGCGACACCCGAATTCATTAGTGGGTTGGCTACGTACAAAGGAACCGTGTGCAGGTCCGGTGCGTAGTCTGCTCCACTTCCCATCCAAGACTTCAGAGGTACTGGGTGCATGAAATGGTAGCGGTAATGAGACACAACTACCAATCACATACACACACACTTCCTCACATATTTCCCAGTACCCACCAGTTGTAAAGCCAGTTAATTAAATTATCGACACAACAAAGCAACCAAGACTTTTGACAACTCCATCGTGAACAAACTACGTTTGCTATTTACTCGTAGAGTACGCAACCGAGGAGACAAAACGTGTCGTTGGAGTCTAGACCTGAAACGGAAGGTAAGAGAGCAAAGTGTGTCTCGCGG